TGCGACTCCTCAGAAATATTTTACGCTGTAGTTCAACTGGTCGACATTTATTAGCATAGATACAGTTGAGTGCATGATGTTTGAGTACTTTTGCATTAGGATGAATGTAGTTTTACCTTGGTGCCTTCCAGAGACGTTTAGGATAATCATTACTTTCGATGCAGCTTTCGAGAAATACAACTCACATTTCACTAACGCATGTTTGACGGTGTAACGTAGGAACCCATTTAGTTCTTTCCTTGTCATAAGCTCCTTACTTTTCTTTGTTGACAGGTAATTCCCATTTAAACATTGAAAACACGAAGTTCACCGAAAGGACCTCTTTTCAACCAAATTATTATCAAGATGCACAACCGTATATATATGAAAATGTTATACCTAAGTACTATTCCCGTAAGGAAATGCGAACAAGGTATAACCAAGATGATATAACAGAAGGATTATAAACTGGATTACGTGATAGGATTAATAACAATAGACTTAATAAGTTAGTAACGAATTATGACATGAATGTAGTAAGATGATTGGTTCAGAATAATATGGATTCATTCTCATTAGCTGCTTACAACCTAAAATATTTGAAATTCGAAGTTATTATAAATATTGACATACTTGTACAACAGAGGGCGATGAAGGATGAATATATGCAACATAATGTAGCAAAGATTTCGTTCGAGTTAGTGAGGTCATAAAAGTTTTTGTTTCGAATGTATAGAGTTTGGGCCTCGTCCTAGTAGACATTTTCATGGCTAACCTCGGAAGAACGAAAGTCAAAGGAGCGATTGATGAGATGATGTATTATTCGAGGTATGTTGATGATACATTCATCTTATGTAATGAGCAACAACAAACCACTCAGAGTGGTTTTGCAATCAATTCGCTATGAATGTTTACCATGTAAAAACACTTTAGTTCAAGGTTGTTTTGCACAGTTTCGGAGGGGCTCAATAATTTCCGGCTCTGTCGATCATCTCTTAATGCGATTAGCCAGCCTGAGATCTACACGGACATTTTTCAGATTTAGTCAGTAAGGATGAATCTTCCAGTATTATGTTCTTTTCTTCAGCAGAAGTAGAAGTGAAATTTCGAAGGAGGATTGTCTGAGTTCTCTCAGAGTCCCTATTTTTTCCAATTCTGTAAAGCTTATGAATGGTAACTCCTGATAATATTTGTTGGAGCAGACTGTCCACCCAAATTTACTTTTTTTCTTTCTCTGAAGGTTCTATAGCATACGAGAAATGCAAAACTTCTTATACATAGTCGATATAAGGATACATTCAAATCTAAAATACAAACCAGACAACCAAAAATACCACTTCACCTCTTAGATAGCTATAGTGAGAACCTCTGCTCACCACAACTCAATTTCAAGTCTGATAAATCTGCTGTAGAAATTACTAAAAAGAGTTGTTTTACAACATCGAAGTGTGTAAGCCAACTCAGTGACCTTGGAACAACATTTTGGTAGGAATTAGTTTTGTCCATTTGATACCGCTGACGATTGGTGAGTGTTCTATCCATGAGCTGTATGGTCGAAAATAGCGTCTACCTATGTGCGAAATTCACAGAATTCTGATACATAGATTCTCAACACACGTAAACATTTTGTGGCAGAGAAATGATTGACTATTGGTTATTAAATAGTTTTACTGAACTAAATTTAGCAAAGTACTTTACTTTCTCCACTTAAGTAAAGGACTATAAACGTCATTCAACAGTTTGTTATGTAAAATTACATAATATTGTCAGTGGTATTACCGTAAGTCAACTCTGTAAATATAGACTAAAACGTGTTCACGATTATAATGTTCTATATTATGTAAGCATCGTTTGTGAAATTTAAATGACTGTATTGATTGCATTCGCACTTGGATTGCTGTTACATATTAGTTTGTCATCTTGTTCAACTGACACTAGATTGTTAGTTTTACGCATTATAGATTAGTTATTCATACGAAAGCAGCTGAAAAATCGAACGAATAACAATATAAATTATGCTTTCTTCACTGGTTTGTATCATTTGGGAGAAATAACTTCAACACAAACAGTTGATATTTATTTCCGTTAATTAAATTACTGGACAGATGTTATGTTTTACACGTTGGATACACGTAGACTGATTCAATTGAAGTCTTCAGTAATAAGGTGAACCTGTGTCAACCCTGACCGATTGCCTTCCAGTGAAGGTTCGGCTTCTCCTTGAAAATATTTATTGATGTGGCTGATACCACTTTTCAGGTAAGGCATTCCAGTCATTGACAACTCGATGAGAAAAACGGAACCCCACTTCAAGTTTATAAGATTGCGTTTCATGAACCTTCTTGCTATGACCTCGGAGATTATTAGTGCTGGAGGGAGCAAAACGATAAGACATATTCACATCCAAATAGTAATTGAAGATACGAAATACCAGTATAACGTCACATCTTATCCTACGATTCGAAAAGGGGAAAAGATTTAGGCATTTTAAACGCTCCTCGAAAGGGAGTTTAGAAAGACCCTTCACTAATTTCGTTCCCACATGCTGGACACGCTCAAGTGAGTTAGTATCCTTAACCAGATATGGGCTAGCGGCTTGGATACAGTATTCTAAATGTGATCTTACATAGGTGGGATATGAAATTCGAAAAGTTTCCTCGTCAAAGCACTTGGACGCTTAGCAAAGCGATCACAACGCACGAAAACCTTTGACAGCGGCAGCGTTGCAATATGTAGTTGTTTTTAGGTCAGAACTTATTATTACTCCTAAGTCTTTATGTTATTGAACGCATGGAAGAGGTTTACCCTCAATAGTATAATGGTAACTATTACCGTGAACGATTCGTATTAGCACACTCTTCCCAGAATTCATTTCTAAGCCCCAAACTCGAGCCCATCTAACTAAATCGTCTGAGTCAGCTTGAAGATCCAGATGATCAGCCGCACTTTTTATTGTTCTCCAGGTTTTTACGTCATCCGCAAACAATAATGTCGACGGCCTAAGCAACAGCAATAACACGTTGGCGTAGAGAAGGAAGAGCAGAGGGCCTAAGATGGTGCCTTGGGGTACACCACTCTTGACTGGCTTCCAATTGGATAGCGTTCCATCGACCCTCACTCTCTGTCTGCGGTCACATAAGAAGTTTCCTATCCACTCCTGTACAGTACCTATTATTTCGAAGCTTGTGAGCTTTTGCATAAGACCTGAGTGTGAAACCTTGTCTAATGCTTTGCTAAAATCTATGAATATCACATCGACAGACAGACTGTTATCTAAGGCTGCTGTCCGATCCTCTCTCTCTCAATAAGTAAGTTAATCAAGCATGGACGCTTGTTACGAAATCCATGTTGCTCAGGAGCTAACAGATTGTGTGAATCTATATGGCTTAGCAACCGAACCCGAATTATCTTTTCAAGCAACTTAGCGACTATGTTAGTAAGACTGACAGGCCGGTAGTTAAATACGATCTGTCTCAGACCATCAATAAATATAAGACTGACTATAGCGTCTTTTTAATTTCTAGAGAGTTGAGCGAGTAAAAAGGACATGTTGAAGAGTGTTGCGAGTGGTTTTAAAATAATGTCCACAAGAGACGACAGCAGCCGTGAATGTAACCCGTCAGGGCCAGGTATCTTACAAGGTTTGAGGTTAGTTATCAACGGAAGGACAGTTTCCTTAGTCACCTGTTATATCCTGCATATTAACTACTGGCATTTTACGATTAGTTTTTATTGTAACAGAGTCATGGGAGTAAAGCTAGTGACTCAAAACAATATTTGACGAGGCTTTACTTTGGGACTTTGGCGGAGTAGTCTGTGAGTTCACCGAGGACTTCTCAAGTAAACGGGTATTACTTTTAGCTATTCGCTGATTGCTTTCTGGATGAGTAATGTTTTTCTCGAGCAAAAACACATACAAAGCCAATGAGAGTTGAGCTTTGAGCACCTTTTATATGGAGTGGGGCTTAATTGGGTGCTTATCTTATGGAACCACTTATTACACTCATCACATTGCATCTCCTCCTCCACAGGGAATAAGAAATATGGTTGTCCACATTTATGAGCAAAGCCAGTCATCTTAAAATTCAACTAGAATGGTGACACGAACAGGATATGTAAAGGAATTCTCAAACTTTAACTAAATATATCAAGTAGAAGTCGACCAAGTACGCGTTGATGCAATAAATACACAAAATCAAAATCAAGACACTCAATACAATATCACTTTAACTGAAATAGATTCAATTAAAGTGTAAACAGTAGATTTGATGCGTAATTTACGATCAAAACAGCTAATTTAACTCAAACAGAAACAATACTACTATCCTTTTGAACAGCGCGCGCTGTCGACGTGCTATTTAATCAAGTATTTATTTATCAGAATCGCCAAACGGTTCCTCACAGCCATTTCGAGTGCCTAACTTGTTCATGTAAGTGTAAAAATGAATCAGAAACGTAATTTATCAGTCCAGCTCAGTCGTTCGTCAGAAACTTTATCACTTATTCATTGCTTATCATCGTTTTTAAATAGCACAGCATAGTCTAATTAATACCTCAAATGCATAAATCAGTCTGATTTATCTAGAATTATTTTCCGTTTTATCTGTGTTTGACTATAACACAACAGCTCGGAAGAGATTAACAGATCACAAAATACTATTAGCGACATGGAAGGGTTTCGTTTTTGTTATGAACATAGAGCCGAAAATAAGTGTATCATGTCAACGATATTCACACTGAAATTGAAGTCCAGTAACGACTACTCTATAAATAGCTTGTCATCTACGGAATCATTGGTAAAAGTCACTATTACTAATTTGATAACTTAATATTATTTAATTTAATCATTTAATGCGTTTTCTATTTGAACATCTTACATTCTTTCAATTTAATCCAAAGGGAAACACACCATTAATGTCTTAGTGGTAAATAATCATCAAATCACTGAATATTTATTATTAACCTTTGAAAATCATTGTAGTACGTACGTCCAATTTGTTTCAGCACAGCTAATTACAAAAATGACTGATCTTACCAGTTCAAAGTCAGTAACCGATTATGGTTGTACCAAATGCGCAGATAAACTTCATCGGTATATATGTGATCATTCACTGCGTCTTTCTGAAGCACAAAAGTGGTTATTACAAGTAATCATCACAATCATCATCTTCCTTAAATGTATTGTAGGAGACTAGCAAACATCCACTGTCATTTATGCTTTTCTCCAGCATAGAAATGCAACTTCTATCGAATTTGTGTTATGCGATAAATGCTAGAAAGACAATTGATATTGGTAAGTACGAGGTTTGTGTGGATTTGTTTACAAGTATATATATGTATCCATTCTATGTTCCTCATTGCTTCTCGAACAAGTTCTGAGCTTTCATGGAGTAAGTGAAATGTAATAGGTCGTATTTAACTAATCATTAAAATTAACTGCATAGATAGATATAAGTAGAAATTTTATAAACAGAATGTGGCTACTATGTCTAACTTCGTTTCATGGTTTACGGTGACATTAAATGAGTCAGCGTTAAAATCAACCGTCTGTTATTTGTAGAATATTGTTCATTATCTCTACCATTTGAAGACGATTAGGGAGATTGGATTCTCTATTCCATCTTTCGTCTTACTCCAGTGAGTATTACATTTCAGAGTGGTTATGAAATTCGTGAATGCACAAATCATGTATGGAGAGGCAGATATGGAAGAAAGGAGAGTTCAAAAATTAGAAGGATATAGTCATCCAGTACTGACTGATTATCGTTGTGTATTCGGATAGAGTCGAATGACTGAGAGAATTACCTTGAAGCAACTATGTTGATACTATATATCAACAACACATTCGTGGTTGAATTGCATATTTGTCTGGAAGTGGAAACTGGAACACTGATCTCATTGTATTTGAGAGTGGTCAGGTGGATGAATTTGCATGGTGTTATTGGTATTCGCATGGTAATTCGAAGCTAGTACCTTTCATTTCAAGCATCATTACGTGATCCACTGATGAATTGATTCCAAATAGTCAGTAGCTTGTTCGACGGTTGTGAATTTTATTTTGAAATAGTTTTTATTTAGCCGTTGTTGATGTTGAGTGTTGTAATTGGTCAGTCTGGTTTTAACATTTTGTTAACAGATTGCATCAATATCGTCATTCAGTCACTGGTTCTAAGTAGAGTTGGATGATGACTGGTAGTGGAATGCGACATGTTTGCGTCGTCCCACATGAGCGTAGTCAATCTCTTGAGAGAAATGATTGTTAACGTGAAAGTGTGAGAAATCAGACACTGTATTATTTACAGGAGCAAATAACGAGTATTCTGAAACGTGTAACGCAGTAGTGAGTAGCGCATGAACCTGTCTCTATACAAATGCATACTATTGTGTAGTGAATGCGAATTTCGAAGTATCAAGAAGAAATGAATGTACAAACAACTACTTCGTGTCCATTCGCATACCGGATTATTAGATTAATCCAGAATCTGTGAACTTTTCTCCCAAATCACAGGCCTGTTGATTATGAATATGGTTGATGAAATGAATAGAAACCTTACTAATGATAATCAATTATGTCTGGGATTTTTGACTTTCACAAATGTTTGGGTTGTTGGGTTCATTAATAATTGGTTTCAGATATATTTGTTAAGCTAATGACTGTTTTGTTAGGCGACACTGTGAGTAAGATTTTAGTGTGATAATTTTACTGTTTTTTATTGTTCAATGTACATCAGTTAAACGACTAGTCATTATCAACAGGTATGTTTCCATTTATTTTAAAATGAATGTAGGAGTTTATACTGGATATAGTTCATTGTCTGTGGCGGAAGTATTGCCATCAGATGGACGTGTAGTAGCCTTGGACATAACAGATGAATATTTGAAAGACTATTGTTTACCAGTATGGAAGAAGGCAGGTGTAGAATCGAAAATTGACTTCCGACTCGGTCCAGCTGTTGATACTCTACGTAAGTCTGATCATATGGTGTGGTATATTGTTTTCAAGAAAAACAAAATACAAATGTGCTGTCAATGTTTTAGCATAGAATATCCATGAAGATAAGCATTTTCTTCGTAGGTGAATGATGTGTACTCTGGTGTCAGCAATACTATCTGATTGATTTTGGAAAAAGATGGTATATGAGGAATTCATGCTACGTTTCTGTTTACGATCGTTGAAAATAACGAAATGTTGGTTGATGTGGACGGAATCTACAAGTAAGCTAGAGATTAAGAAGTATTAGTGGAGTGATCGAGATCACTTAAATGTCAAGGGACTGAACTGCAAACAAATTTCATTGATGTTGGTTTCGATATCCTTTGGTTTAAATATTGTCTGAGTTAACCACTTGTACAGACTATTAATAAATACTGACCAGTTTACTGAATCTGTATGTCCATTAGTTACAAGTGCATTATTGCTATGATTGATAAAGTTCCCTCCTATAATATACATAATGTATGCGAGAAGCTAATATTTTTACACTAGACACCATGATCAGGTCTTGTTTAGATTGCATTACACTTTTTGAAATCATTTCAAATTATATGAGAATTTCCGTCTAAATTCGAACGAATAGATGAACAGTATTTGTGTTCCGTGATAATGCATGACATTGAAGAGGAGGCATATATTGGTTAAATCTCTGTGATTGAGTCCAATGTTTTGCTCGAAAAACTGTTCACCAAATATATCATTCAGTCATATTAATGACATTTGAAGGAAATATCTGCTACAGTGTGTATCAGATACATGTAACGTGTGTGACGAAATGTGTGTTAAGAAAACAGATGTAAGTATTGTGTGTAAGTGGATTGGAGGTATGAAAATAGTATTTCATTTTGATTGAAATCACGAATCGATGAATGTTAGACCATCAGTGAAAAACTGGAAGGAGTATGAGACTCCACAGAAGTGCGTACTCACGTTCCTCCATGAAGGAATTGAACCCAGAACTCTCAGTCTCGTGCACGGATTATTAAACTGTAGACCACTGTGCTGGCATATATATTTATTCAGTTATTATTCGATAACAGTTGGGTGTATGTAAGTACGTTCAGTTTGATAACAGGTTTGTCTTAAACTATTCATTGATTAGGTAACTGAACTTTATATATTTTAATTGAACTGTTGTGCCACCAGAAACTTTGATTGATAATGGAGAGAGTGAAACATTCGATTTCGCCCTGATCGATGCTGATAAAGAAAACTATAGTAATTATTATGAACTATGTTTAAAACTAGTACGACCTCGTGGAATCATCGCCATTGATAATGTGAGTTTGTTTTATTTACGAGCATATGTTTTATGTATCTCAATGCATTTGAAGTCAGTTTTCATGTCAAATTGATCTTTTAATGACTATTAATGAATCTTCTGTTTGGAAATATCTCGCCCTTAAAAATGCTTCTACGTTTCATAAATTCTCCTGGAAATACTCCACATATTCAATGAAGTGTGAAGTATTAATATAATAATAAATGACCGTACTTCTACACCTTCTGCTGAATAGCAGCCCTATATTGCAAACTAAATTGAATGAGATTATCACATATATGTATGAATAAATTATCTTTAATCCACTAATTGGAAGTTATTGAGTAGAGGGAATTATAAGTTGGTCTGTGCTAATAGTGCTAACTAAACATTACTGAATTGTGCCTCCGAATGATTCCTGTTATATGAATGATTACCGTTTTAATTTTGATAATAATCTGACGTAGAATATTGATTATCTTATAGATTCTAATCAAAGTGTCTGCAACATTCTACGTGACTTATCAAACAATCTACTTGTTAACGAACAAATGAATTGTCTTCTTTTGGTTGCTTTTAGATTTCACTCTTCCTAATTCACCATCTTTCTGTTTCAGAGTCATTTTATACCCTATTGCTTACAATCTCTTCTTCAGGTTATATGGAGGCAACGTGTGCTCGACGAGAATGATAACAATCCTGAAACTGTTGGTATAAGAGAAATGAATGCTTTGATAGCTAAAGATAACTCTGTTCGAATTTCTTTCTTAAGAACTGGAGATGGACTGACAATTGTTGTGAAGAATTGATTCTTGTTACGATTGTTTACAGAATGGTTACATCCAGACAGACACATATTCATTTGATTGATAAACCGAATTACTTTGATCACTATCTTACATAAATATTTCCATTACTATATTGTCATTTTCAATCATCGCTGCATATGTATGTTGTTGTAATAAAACATTTCTATGAAGGGATTTTGTATATTACATAGTGTTTCAATCATTTTGTAATTGGCACTAAACATGTGCGAACCTCTCACATATGAGGAAATTTGTGGTATTGTGGGGTGCTTCTTATAGTCTGTGGAATGTTGATGGGATGTAGTGAGATTCTACAGGTCAGTGGAAACTTGGGGCATTTTAGTCGCATTTTCTCACAGTAAATCCCCATATAATAAAAGATTGAGATGATACGATGGGAAGAAATTAGCTTGTTGTCTTCAGTTTTACGCAGTACAAGATTATCCAATACAAAGTCTTGACACAAGAATAGCAACTAGTTTAATAAATCACAATATTTGACCACGTTGTACACTCTTCTGAACTATTCAGTTAACAATCAAAAAACAGATGAGATGTCGGTATGAATATCAGAAAAATTCCGATTGACGATAGTCTGACGATAGTTGATGATATACACGAACCACATGAGAAATACTGAGTTTTCATGTATTTTCAGTAGACGTAAATTGTTGCAAATACATCGACCATATGTTTTTATATTTGTATCAGTTAAAGTATATGATCTCAATCTTCTCCTTGTCACAGATCAAATTATTTGAAATTATCACTAAACCGAAACATGAAACTTATCAGAAATAAGAGTACAGTAGTATGACAGATACGCTCAACTTCGAGATCAACAGGCAGGAGTCCGTAAGGATAGACCAAATACAGACCGAAATCACAACTCTATGGATCATTGTGGAACAAACGATTGAATGGATTTTGTCACTCTACATCAACTTCATTGACTACAAAAAAGCTTTTGATAGCGTGGACAGAACAACATCGTGGAAACTTCTTCGGCACAACGACGTGCCTCAGAAGATAGTCAATATCATACAGAATTCATAATAATGTGGCAGATCTACGTCAGAAGGAATAGAACATATTGATTACTAACTATATCATATACGATCTGATAATTGCTTTGGTATGGAAATCCAGCATAGTTGTACACACGTATACATCGAATGAAGTGGTAATTTCAGGTTCGTGATGGCTTTGTACCAGAAAAGTAACATCTTTGATTGAAGATTGCATAATATAATGGATGTTTCATTGATTCATATCAATGGTTGTTCACGTTGTTCATTAATTGTATTATCGTGTTGTTATGTAGCTTAATAACTGCAAAGTAGCGAGATTCATTTTTTCACTACTAGCCACATTCCATCGATTCACTATTTGGAGGATACTGGATCTCATAACCAAACAATCACACTAATTTTCAAAATGTCAAAGATATGTGTGGATGATTCTCTTGAAAGACGATTGCTTCTGCTCATTTTCAATCCGTAATCCAATCAGTACGTAGTCAAGCATTGTAATGGACGGATGCTCGACATGTAATTCGATTTGCACATTTTGTACACCTGAAAATACATTTTGCTACAATTAATTAGGACCAACGAATTCACCATATCTCAATTTCGACGCAATCCTCTCACTACCGTTACACAATGTTTAGATTCGAAAATGCGTAATTATCTGTGGTTGTGTTGTTGGCTATCATCATATATCTTCAATTATCTACATTCTTCTCTATCCCCATTCACAATTTGTCGTTTATGCTTGTTTGAATGAGGCTAATTGAATAATGTCAACTGAAGTTTACTAGAAAAAAGCACAAATAATCTCAATATGTATGCAGTTTTGAAACCCACATTCAATCAATTTTTTTATTTTGAGGATACTGAATCTCATAACCAACTAAACACACTACTACAAGGTCAATGTGTGAAGCACGTACTGAATAAGTGGTACTTCATCACGTTGTATTATCAATGAAAATGTAGACATTTCAGTAAATCACGTATCTCATAAATAAAATCCATGTTAATCTTATACAATAAGTACCTCATGTCGATTATAAATATAAGATAATATTAAAATATCTAATGTTGTTGACATGATTGTTCGATTTGAAACGTTTTAGCCTTCATAGTGCTTAACATAGGTCATGAACCATTGAGCATAGATTTCATGTGACATAATGATTTATTGACTAATGGTTGGTGGTTTCACTGTTTTCTGTTAGTGGATAGTTCTATGTTCCTACACAATCTATGTGAAATCAGATGATCACAAAGATGAGTGTACAAATTCTGTGGTACTTTCGCTCAGCATATGTTATAGACCAGAATGGGTTTTACATTAGGCGATCATGATAGATTGAATATTACTCACTTGTTGCTACTAATGAATCGTGATGTTTATGAGAACAGACAAATCGAAGTTATCAATCCGTAATATTATGCACTACACAAAACCAACTCCAGTTTGATCATCTGTGATCTAGAAGAATGGTAGTTAGGAAATGATTCTTCGAATATTACTTGACTTTCAAAATCGATGAAGAAAATGCACAACTCATACACCTGAATATTGAAGATGTGACTGAATTCTGGTGTTTGCCTATTGATTTGATGCAGACAATGCTTATGAACAAGTTCCAGTAATGATGGAAACTGATTAGTTTAATGTGTGCGCTCGCCAGATTCACAACTGTCACTTCAGTCTCTATATCTTTATTTTATCTGGTTGACCATAAGCATTAACTTAATTGTCATCACCGAGAAATTGAAAGGACAGATTTTCAAACTGATATTTGAAGTGATCAAGCGAGAAATGACAGTTACTGTTCAGTACAAACAATAGTTGACCGGACAGATTGATCGTTCTACGGAAATCACCATTGACAACATGGAATCTGTGGATGGCCGTTTTTCAACTTTGTATGGAATTGGTACTCAATATGAATCCATGACTCAGAAAGCGAGGACGGAACCTATTACCTTCAATCTTCACCGACAC